CTGGAATGCCCTGGGACCCCAAGCTGGACTTAACTGAGGGGGTCCTGTTGTCTGTGCCGGCAAGACCTGTCTTGGACTGTATTCCTGTCATCCAAATAAACCTTCTGCTTTACTGGCTGGCTGAGAGTCATGGTGAATCGCAGGAAGCCGGGGGTGCAGGGCCCTGAGTCCCCCAATACTCCGTGACAATATGAAAGCAAATTTTATGGCAGAACATGTTTTAATAAAACAGTACTGGATGAATATGAATATGATATTCTGGGGTGCAATCCATACCAGTGGGGGGTTGTCACTACTTGCCCTGTAACCCTTAGTGCCTTAAAATGCTTTGCTGTTGTTCCCTCGTTCGGATGCTCCCAACCAGCGTATAAGCATGCAGTGAGTGTCTGTGTGTTATGTAGCTCTCACTCAGCAACTCTGATTCCAGCAGCCTGCTTGTTCCACCCCAGTCACACTCTGACATACACTAACTCTGGTTACACCAGGTGAGATGACCCCAACAGCCTTCAGTCCCAGAATTTTCCAGAACCATCTGCTGTGCAATGTCCAGCCCTCTCTTGGACCATTCACAGCGATATTAATATTTGTTTGTTCCTTTAAAGATACAACACCCAGCAGCTGCCACATTACCTGGAGTAAACATTCACTTTAAATCATACACAGCACTGGGTTGGTTTATTAAAAGTAAAACAAGTTTATTAACAAAAAGAGAGATTTATGTGAGTTCAAGTATAAAGGATAGAGTTGGAAATGGATACAAGCAAATAAAAGTGAAAAACACTTTTTAGAGACTGACTTAACAACAGTCTTGGTTCAATGGAAGATTCTCATCTTACTACCTTCCAGCAAGATGTCTGACTAACCCCTCTGGTCAGTATCTCCTACAAAGTCCTAAGTGCTCAGTTCCTTTGTCTTCTTAGATGAAATAAAACTTGGGGTTCTTTGTTCCTTTCCTTTACAGTCTAGTGAACCTTAGAAATAGATTCTTCTGAAGATTACCCCCCTAACGTAAAGTTAATTCAAGGTGTCAGGAAGGCGACATAGAATCTGCTGGTGAAAGTTCCTTGCTGGCTTCTTACCCACCCACTGGTGTTTGCTAAACTGCAAATTGATGTTTCCTGCAGCCTCCTCCCCTGCTGTCTTGATGGTCCTGTTTTATCTTCTATGTAAACTGCAGGCCCATTTTCTCTTAATGTACCTTGGAAATATCTTCAAGGTGGCAAAACCACCTTCCTTTGTCTGTCAGCAGACAGACTTTAATAACATAACTTTCAACATGTTTGAAATTTTGAATTTGTCCTCCGTACACCACACAATTATATTAATGATCAGTATGTTATTAGCGCTCTAATGATATCTTACATGCCACCTTTTACATACAGGTTATCACATCTGTGAACTGGGGTACATTCAACTGATCCGGGCAGCTGAAACTCACTACCAGATACCAGTGAGCCTTTTGCCCTTTGGCATTCGGATGCTGTTAGATCACAAGAACATTTTTGGAATTATAAATTGATCCAAATTGATAAATAGAAGTGCAAATGTTCTGCTTACTTATTGTTAATGGACAATAATTCCTGTCCCTGTAAACACAGTCTTTGGAAAGTGTCACAAACCCATGTAAACATAAACAGATTTTCAGATCAACAGCTAACTCCATTGTACAATGTATAATAGGCCAATGAAGACGTTACAACTGGAAATAGAAATTTCCCATTCAGAGATTAAATGTTTTGACCACACATGTAATGATCACAAAACAGCAATTTGGAAAACAAGAAGTGAAAAAAAATGTCAAGAAAAGGTTGAATGGGTTTTTTTTAGATAACAATAGCAACTCTGCAGATCTGCCATAAGTTTGCCAGGGAGACAGACGCAATACCAGCTCTGCCCAATTGGCACTCTGAGGAAGTTCCTGTGCATCTCTGCCTTTATTGCTTCCTGCCAAATCTAGTTGTTCAGGGTTACATGGGGCCTCTGTGTCACAGAAGAGTAATGCAATATGTAGTGTGCCCTTTTGATGATCAAATAGTCTATTGCTAATCAACTCTAAAACCAATAAGGGGGAAGAGACTTACATTTTGGGTTTTTTAAATCCTCTTTGTGTAACTCTTAACTGCCCGGGGCAGAGATCTAAGTTTTTTGGGTACTTGGAGATTGGTCTACTGCCTACAACCTATCTTTTTAGTTTTTCTTTCCTTCAGTCCATGTGACATTTTTCCAGGTCTCACTAATGATTCTTACTTATTACTTCCTATTGGCTTCCACTGAGATAATTTAGCATCTTGCGGAATTGCTGTCTATATTGATACCGCTACTATTTCAGAATAGAGCCCAGTTATTATTGATTAAAATTCTAATCTATATAGGTTCTTATACTGCATTCATCACTGTAGTATCTGAGCACCTTCAAGTAGTGCATTAAATGATGTAACACATCTGTCACATGCGGTTCATTCTCTTATTCTCTCCTCAGGAAACAATTGTGTGCGCGCTGTAGTGTTTTTGTTTGGTAGATTTTGTTTAAAATATCTACAAGATGCTGTGTGTTTATATTAGAGAAGACAAGTTGAAGCATGCCTTGCACATGGAGTGAAAGGTGGTGAGGTTTATGGTGGTGCTTACTTCCTGTGGGAATTCGTTCCACAGCATGGGACCAGATCCTGAGGAAAGACCTGTCTCCTGCAGAGGAGCTTGTCCTTGTGTTTGGCTGCTCCACTGTGCCTGAGTAGTGGATTTGTCAACCACGGCCCTCATCCTGGATCTGTAGGCGGTCTCAACTACTTTCATATTCAAAAGACCCTGAACTACTTCTACATGTAACATAAGCATTGTTTTTCTGGACTTGTTTTATACTGGATAATAAATTACAAAATATCCACCAACACAGCCTAGGTACTGCAGGGTGCAGTTGTATTTTGAATGTTTAAATATTTGTTGGGTTCAGATTCATATTGTTTAAATTTTCTATTTTAATATATACCATTAATATTCCTAAGAAATTACTCTTTAAAATTGAATTAAAAAGGTGACATATGGATTCCAATATTAGATAGTATCAATACAAGTATATTTTGCCAGTGATAGTGGAGGCCCTGGAGCTGTCAACCACATTACAGATTAACTTCATTAGCTATATAATTTTAGCCCAGAAAACTTTACTTTAATATAGACTAATTAAAAGAAAGTTGCAATATAAGATCCAAGCATAAGTAAAAGAGAATACAGAACAGTATGGATGTCAGTAAGTTCAAGTCCTTGTGCCTGATACCCAGTATTTCAATCAGACTGGTTAGTGGACAAGGACAATAAATCTGATCATTATTTGTGTTACAATATCATAATCAGTAGCAAAAGTAAAAGGTAAATAAATGAAGTTAAATTGTGGTCTATGGAAATACATACGACTATCTTTATATGCAAAAGATAAATTAAAAAACCCTGACAGTAATACAAATACTTAAGCTCAAAATATACATTTTAACACACAGTGGTTGAAACATAATATTTGACTAGTCCAAAGAGACAAAGTCCGTGGATATTGTGTAGAGTGAAGTCTATGCAGAAGTCTTTCTCTCTTAAAAACATTCAAAAATTCTCTCCCCTTTTTTACAAAAAACTCTCTCCACTTTTTCAAGGCTTGAATGTTCATCTTCCTCTGCACTATCACAGACCATTTGGTAAAGATAACAGATGAAGATCCTGTTAGGCTTTTGTTCTATATGTAACACAATGTCTCTGTCAAAGTAAACCTCGTGATTGTAAGTCTGCAATGAGAAAATAATTTTGAATGACAGCTTCATTTCCCAGAGGCTGGTGTAAGTACCATGTAAATACGACTTCCCTAGAACTGATTAAAAAATTACAGCAGAACACTGTTCATTTTCCTAGTACACATGACAAAAAGCATATATGGATAATTGGTCTTTCAGATAAAGCAAGTTCAGTGTTTAGAAACCATGGTTCAGAATTTCAAAAGTATTAAGTAACCTAATTCCCATTAAAATCAATGGGTGTTCGGTGTCTCAATACCTAAATTCCCATAGAGTTAGGTCCATACTTAATTTTGTGCACATGAGAAGTTCCACTGCCATCAGTTGGACTGTTCAAAGGTTGTAAAGTTAAGTGCACACACACAAGTGTTTGTGGGATCAAGGCTTAGGTTGATAAGCATTTTATAACTGTCAAAAGATACATTTTTCAATGCAGTTGATAAATCCTGATTTAAGATTATGGAGATTTTCAGATAAATGAACTACTGTATCACAGAATACTTGGAAGTTCAACTGAGTAATTTTTGCCACAGATACTATACATGGGAATTGCCAGTAGGATCTGTATTGTACATCTGACTCAAAAATTTGAACAAAACAGTTACTTGGAAGCAAAGCGGCGTGTTAAGGGGATACAGAGGAATGTTACTGTAAGATGAATTCAGTGGATTATACTCACCACATCCCAAGATTCCACTAATGGAATACTCTTAAGTAGAATCCCATGTTCATTACAGTGAAAGTCAAGGTGAGCTTTCCCATCAGCTCCTATCTGAGTAACTGCCACAACGGATAACAAATCCAGCTCATCTTCATAGTCCACAATTTTGAAAGTCTTATGAAAAAACAAAATCTCAAGTTGACCAGTTAATAAATAGACTCTTACAGTTATTTTTAAAAGAACTTTACATATGTTTTTTGGGAAGGGGAAAGGAAAGAAATGGAAGGCGTTCCAGTTCACAGATCTGCCATCATTCATCAGGAAAATCTTTGCCATCCAGATAGTAAGCTATAGGCATCTTTCCAACCACAGACTATTCAGTGCATTTCAGCAGAGCCCCCATATAAGAGGAAGAAGAGAAAATAGGGTCCTGTACTGTCTCAGTGTGTGAGTATAAGGGATTTACACACACCATGTAGGAAATGTAAGATAGAGGAAGAAAGGCATCACTTCAGTGCCATTTGCTTATACACATTAGCAGCAATATGACTTAAACCTGTTGTCAACATCTAGACGGTGAGATTTGAGAAAATTACTAGGGTAATGTAAGTCACAAAAACTCCTGCAGCCTCTCTTTAAAGTTACATGCCTCTACACGTACAGTCAGCAGCTCCAGTTTATGATGGGGGGAAAGACTGTTTTAGAATAGCTATTATCAACACATGTAAGTAAGCATGGTCTACACCGCTATTTTTTAGAGCGCTAGCACAAGTCTGTGGACCAGGCTGGGAGGCTCACACCCGGATGCAGGGGAGACATACCCTAAATGACTTCTTTGCTCTTCTCCTGTCTAAATCTAAGGAAATGTATTTCCTACATAGTTCAGAGCATAAAGCTCAATAGCAGGAACAAAATCTGTGGAGTTCTGACTACTTAAGTGTCTTTGTGGAATTTTTATTCTGTTGATTATAAATGAATATAAATTAACTCCAAGTTTTAAGGGCTATGTAAAAACGTATCCTGTTTTCACTGAGCAGGTATCCATTCCCATGGAAACAAGAGTGGAAATGGTTGCCAGAAGCTGAGGAATTAGAATTCTCATTTCCGTATGAATTTCAGCTGAGTCCTAGCTGAGAGCTAAAAAATGTTTTTCAAACACTATGTGAAGACCTTGGCAATGTAGTGTTTTTAATTTGAAAATATTCAATTAAAAAAACAAACCTTAAATAATTTCCCTGCAATTTACCAAGATGGCTGACTAACTCCTCTAGTTAGGATCCATTGGCATCAAAATTTGAGGTAGGCTAACCTGACCAAAGAGTGGTGAACTATGCAGTTACATGGGTACCCAAACACTCAGAACTTTCACTGGCCAATTAGATGCTTCAGACCTCTTTTCATAACAGTGTAGCCTAAACTATCCAAACGTTATTTATCTGACAACCCATGTTATCTAACTAAGGACATATCAGGGTCCTGTCTTTAAGTGTGGATATAACAGGCCTATTTCAGAAAAGTGCTGTTCAAATAACTGGAGAAAATCTTCTGGCTCATTCCTTAGTTACCTTTGTGGGGTTGGGAAGAGAAGACTAGGGGGAAGAGAGGTTTAGCTGAAGCACTTTAGCTAGAATGATCTAGCAAAAAGTCTTACATTGAATCCTGGGGGATTCAACCACCAGTTTCTCTCTCTCTGATGGCCCCTTCTGCTCCCCATCCTGTTTTCGATGTCTGCATTACTTAGGAGTGGCAAAGTCACAGCAGGCTTGACACATTCTTCAAGACTATAATGTATTTATATCCAGGGTAAAATAAAATGAATATAAACTAACAAAATGAAAAAGAAGACTACTTGAAGATTTTCACCCCTTTTTCTGCACTTCAAGACTATCAGCAGGGGCAAGCTCCAGCCTCATGAACTAGAAATTCCCATACTTGTTTCTTGTCCAAGTTGAAACAAAATGCAAAGATTGAATGAATGAATGAAATAAAGAAGAAATAAAACTGGGAAGACATCAGCAAGCAGGAAGGATACATCATAGTTAATCTGAGGATCTGGATCAGACCTGCTCTGTAGTGTTCTCGCATATTTATCATATTCCAGTTAAGCACTTAAATAAATTGCCTAGGGAGGTTGTGGAATCTCCATCATTGGAGATTTTTAAGAGCAGGTTAGACAAACACCAGTCAGGGATGGTCTAGATCATACTTAGTTCTGTCATGAGTGCAGGGGACTGGATGACCTCTTGAGGTCCCCTCCAGTCCTATGATTTTATATAGCCACATTGTAGCTTAAACCTGAATTGTGATGTCACAGGGGTTCCCACCACCACCCACTTTTTTTAAACTGTTCGATTTTATTGAAAACAAAGACAAATTTCATGAGTGACTAGTGACAGAGTATTTTTGTTCACAGTCAATAATGTATCAGTGTGTGTTCAGTCCTGTTCAAAGCAAAGGAAGAGATGGTCCCTGGCTTGAGTTTACATACTTACAACAGAGTGAAGAGACAATGTAGTTCAGACACCACACACCAGAGTCTGGAAATTGGACAATCCAGTCTCAAAGCAAAAATATAATTTAAAATTTTGTTTCTTTGTATTTACTGCTTAAAAGTTTGTCAGTAGAAATGTTTTAAGAAGAGATCTGAAAGGAGAGAATGGTTGTAGTTTCTCACATTAAGGGTTTGGTCTCATACCACTTAAGTCACTGAGTGTTTGCCATTGACTTCAATGGGAGTAGGATCAGTCCTTAAATGAGGAAGACTCTTTCAGGCACCAATAGCAACAAAAAAGAAGAAAGAGATAAAGATGGGAGAAGAAAGCAAAGGGAGGGGAATGAAGGCAACAGAAGGAGAGGGATAAAGAATGAATGTAGAGCTTAATGTAGCTAAAAGTTCCAGCGACTGCACTTGTAACGAGAGATAAGCCTTGATGGCTCAACTCCTTGGCCAATCTTTTGGTCCTTTTTAGCTCACTGTATCACAATTACCTCTTGTTCTGGGTCATCATCCAGCAGGTTAAAACGCTTTTTCACTACTCGACCAGAAGCGGTTACAGTTACTGAGTTGTTCGCCTTAGACACAGAATTAAAAAAAAGAAAAAGAGAGAGCGTGTAAGTCTGCGTGGCAGGTAATAATATAGGATGTGTATACTTTTCTTAGCAGTATATTCATTTTATTTGAAATTTGGTAAAGCTTTTAAAAAGACTAAAACGCAACGCTATCTTTAGTACACGGAAAGTACAGACAGTCTGTACAGGAGCAAATAAATCAGTTTATTAAGCATCATTCATTGTTTTAGCTGAGACGTTTTACAGCCCTCCTAAAAATCTGATTTCCTGTCTGAGCTGAGAGGACACTGAAGACTCCTTCGGAGCAGGGTATCCTTGCCCTTGTGTCCTTTGGCCAAACTTCCCCCAAGGCTTGTTACACTACTGTGCTATGCCTAGGCTGGCTGCCACCATCTATTCCAGGGTTGGACTTTAATATGCTCTAGGTGGTTATTATTATTATTTGTAATATTGTAATATATTGTAATACTATAGCATCTCGGAGCCCTAGTCATGGCTCTATGCTGTACAAATGCAAAAAGATGCCCCATGGGGTTGGTGAAGCATTTTAGGATTGTTTGAAATTAAAACTATATAAAGATATAATATAATACAAGGTAGAAAAGACAGCACTAAACCGCCTTTCCTCCTTTAAAACTATTCCGTTCCCCACTCCCTGCAGAGGAAACAGGAACATTTTTCACATCTTTAAAGATTTCCCCCGTTATCCTGTTCTTCCTCTATTTTATCCCTTGATATGCCAGTGAACCTAATTTCACTGTAGAAATTCTAGCACGTAGATTGTGTAATGTTGTTGATTCAATTATTTTTGTTGATTGGAGTATTTTTTAGTGACTTGAGGTAATTACAGTTTCTACAGAAAGATTAGGTTAGTTAGAAATATCGAAGTCAAGCCAGCAATTTAGGTCCCAATCCTGCACCTGGCTGTGCACAACCACTTTGAAGTCAATTGGGTTGTGGCCTACATCAATAATCTAATATTTAGGAAATTACAGTACAAATAATCAGGCAGCAATCCAGCTCATAAGGATCTCTTAAATGGAAGATGCTTCATTTAGCAAATAGGTACACTGGTGAGTAAAAGAAGACTGCCAATAAAAAAATCAAAGGATGCAACACCATGCTCTGGGTGTCCCTTAGCTTCTGATTGCCAGAAGCTGGGACTAAATGACATGGATCACTTGATAATTTCCTGTTTTGTTCATTCCCTCTGAAGCATCTGGCACTGGCCGCTGTCGGAAGACAGGATACTGGGCTAGATGGACCATTGGTCTGACCCAGTATGGCCATTCTTGTGTTCTTATTAAACCACCATCTTCACCACATTATTTCTACTTTCTCAAAGTGATTTACAAACATTAATGAATATATCCTTGCAACACTCCTGTGAGGTGGGTGCTATTATCCCCATTGCATAGTTGAGAAAATGGGAGCATAGCAGCATTAAGAGCCTGATCCTGAATGTGATGAGTGTCCTCAATTCCCACTGGACATCAATAGGAGTTGAGAATCCTCAGCACCTCTCAGAATTGGGCCCTTCGTGTCTTAGCTAAGGAAGGTCACAAGAGAAGGTTGTGGCAGAATTAGAACTCACATCTCTTGACTCCTATTCCCAAGCCAAGATCATCCTCCCTAAACAAAATCCTAGGAAAAAGAAAAGAAAAGGAGTGTCACTTGGCACTACTCCTGCCCCTACTAATTTGATGGGAGTTTTACTATTGACATTATGTAGATTTTAAATACACACATTTTTATTTATGGGGGAACTTCAAAAGCAGTGTCACTGACTGCAAGGGTCTCAGCATTCATAAACTATGAAAAACCCTACAAGTCTCTGCTGAAGCAAAGTGCAATTCTAAGCTACAGCAGTGTCATCAAAGGTTTTTCACTAACATTCACCAGAGAGGGGTTTGGAATTTTTAGCATTCCCATTTGGTTTTTGTGGTTTGCGGTCACAAATGTTTGTTTCACCAGGCTTGACATTTTTCAGCCATTTGAACTTGATGACTATCAAATTTGCATATAATTATGACTTAAGTCAGTGACACCTCCTTGCCAAAGAAATCCATCTCTGTATGCTACTTAAGGTTTACCCAGGCAACTATTTGCATTGTTCACAATGGATGCCAAGAACCTAAAAAGTGATAGAAGGTTTCAGTGAGATACCCTGAAAATGTAATTGTCTTTGAAATTCCTCTCACACAGGCCTGATGCAAAGACTGTTGAAGTCAAAGTGTCTTTCAATAGGCTTTGGATCAGGCCCACACAATATACTGATATACATATGCATATAAATCACCTACATACACTATATAATCATGCAAAAGTAAAATGTATTGTTTGTATTAAGAATTTCCTGCTATAACCTCACATTGTTCTGCCTGTTGGCCACGATGACAAAATCTTCTGCTATTTCTTGTTGGTATTTATTATTTTCAATTTCCTTCAGCTTCAATATCCTTAAAAAAAAGAAGATATAAAATGAGTCATGTTAAAATCTAACATGCTGTGATTTCTAAAATCAGATGTACTATAATAGCACAGATAAGTTACAGTCATAACTTCTTTCAAATACTGTACAGGGTAAATATATACCACATTTTAAAGATGTTATTACTGTAACACATTTATCTGTGCTATTTTTTTACATCTGATTAGCACATCAGTTCTAGAATATACAGTATGTTTCCTTATTGAATTCTACCGTTGCTCACATCCACTATGTGGAAGTCTGCAGATGTTTCTTCTAGAATTCCTGATGCTGGTTGGTTTATAAATTCTCCGGGTGCTATAAGTTGGTGGTAATTCTTTGGCCTAGTACTTCTCAGCCTAAGTTGGAGTCATGTAGGGGAGGACTGGTCAGAATTATGTCACTAAACTTTAACATTCCACAATGCATACTACTGAGACCACTCCATATGCAAGTTTTCCTTTGAGAGAACCTCAGGAATAGCTACGAGATTGAGCTGTACAATTGAAATTTGGATCTGACTTCTTCCAAAGTTCAGAAGAGGGCTTGAATATGGGCTTTTAGCTTGGGTCCATTGCTAGTTATCAGTGTTTTACACTTCTTCCTACATGTTTACAAAGCTGTTGAACCAGCTCAGGATCCACTGATGGAAGCAACATATGATAACTATGACTGTAGTTCTTTGGGGGTGGGATATGTGTGTATTCATTGCCTAGTACAATGATCCCGTAATAGGGCCTCTAGGCACTACCACAAAACAAATAGTGGCCACTCCGTAATAGAAAATAAGCCATACTAGCCTTTAGGGAACAGTAATTCTCTACAGAAATATGCCCAATTTTATTCATAAAATGATTTTTTTTTAAATTTGATAAAATGAGCCACAGTAACATAACATTTAGGGAAAAGGGGACAATACTGAAGTAGAATTTAGTCTTTATCCCTTACAGGAAATAATAGAGTCAAATCTGCCTTTGTTGTTTAGATATTTCCCGAACTAGGCTTCAAAAATACAACCTTGACTACATTTTCCCTCTGACAAAATTTAGTTCTCGTCTTGTTTTCAAAATATTTTTTAAATTAAAATGTAGATCAATGTAAATAAAGATGTCTTCTGCGATAAGAACTACTGTATATTTGTGGGAGTTGACCAAAACATTTTGTGCTTCGATGCATGTATTTAACTTTTAAAATACATTCAAGCAACAGAAATTAAACCCCCCATAAGTATACTTGTATTAATAATGTTAAGTTTGAAAAATTATTCCTTTGGGGGGAGGGAGAAAGCTCTGATACATCATTTTATAGAGAGCTGAGATTTTAAACTCTAAAAAGTAAAGAAATGATCGACTAAAGTTTCAGAACCAGCACTTAAGCAGTCTCCTTAAAATATATTTTCTATTTGGGGGAAAAACGGTATGCAATAAGATGATTGTCATTGGTGTGTGTAACAGAGTAGCTGGCCCTTTAAGTGAAACAGGGCTCAGCTCTTCTGTTCCAGTCCAGGTGCTCCAGTTGGGTTAATTAATAGGGTGGGGCAGCACTTGGGGAACTCTAAGCGGCGTGGTGAGATACGTTGGGTTGTTGGGAGAAGACTCGGAGATGAGAGTTGCCAGAGAGAAGGTGGTTTCTGTGAGAGGGCAGCAAGAGGGGTTTGCTGGCCAATGTCCCCGAGCTGGGCAAGAGAGAGCTGAAGACAGGAGGAACAGCAGAGGGAAGTGTCTGCTGCCTCTAAGCCAGAGAGGGCTACAGGAAGGGGAGTAGCAGAGAGGCTTACCTGCTGATGTCTCTTTGCCAGAGAGCTGGGTCCCAGTGGAGAGACTGTGAGAATTCCCCCTAGGAAGAGTAGGTTGAGCCCCAGAAGAAAGGGCTGGGGTGGAGGGTCAGAGGAGGACTCCAAGAGTCCACATCTGGTAAAAGACACCAGGATGGTGAGAATGAAGCCAGGGCTCAAAGATTACTTGCACAGGGTTGATGTGGACTATGCTGTGGGACATTTGGTTTGGGATGTTTGCACTGTGTTTTGGCTAATAAACTGTAGGAGGACTAGAGGAAAAAGCTCATGTGGACCTACTGGGAACTCAAGAGAGAAACTGAGGCAAGGGACCACTGGCAGGGCTGCCTCAAGGAAGGCCACTTGTTTACAGTTCGTTCAGTTTAATAACCACAATTTTCATTGTTAAAAGAAAGACATTGTTCCGTCCTCTTTCCCGCCCATCCTATCCCAAATCCATTCTCTTGCAGTCTGGACTTGGGCCCCAGATCTTTTAGCTGAACAGAATGAGAGTCTGTATCAGACTGTCAGTAGAAGTATCAGAAAGCAATTGCATGCTCACCATGGTGGGGGAACAGTGTGGGAATATTTGGGCTAGGAAGTAAGTTATCATGGGCTTGTCACTGTAGGAGTCTCAGAAGATGAGACATTCAAATCAAATTGTGCATATTCTAGAGTTGACATCCCAGGGTGTACAAAATTTAAAATTGATGGGTCAGGAAGGGGAAGTAAAATGACTGGCAGATATGCTGGGCTCATTTGTACATCATCTTAAAAGTAGTGGAGGGGATAAAATTTGGCCCAGTTCCACTCTTTTCAGATGGCATTGGAAGAGCAAATCTGGCCTGATTCCTTACTTGGCTCCCTCAGGAGTTAATTTCTGCTTACACTTAAAGTGCCCTTTCAGTGCAAAGCCAAAAAACTTGCAAACTTTGGAATGAAATTCCCATAAACGAACTTTGGGGTGAGGTACAGAGAGGAAATCAAAGAGAAGCAATGGCAAGCAAAGACTGCCGGACAGTAGAAAATGGTCAATGGTCTGAATGATAAAGTCACATTTGTTTTAACAGGTTAAATCTGCTGGTAGGAAATAGAAAATGCACAGCATTAGTTGATCAAAGCTTATGCACCCAAAAAGGGGTTTGGGTCTCAAAGGTTTATTCTTAAGGCATGTGAATGAACTTGTGATAGTGGAAGCTGGAATTCTTAAAAAGCATCTGGATTGTTACATAGATTAGCAAAATACAAATTAAAGAAAAGTTTTCCTATGTAAGCAAAATCACAGCTATTTTTACTATTTTTTCAGAGCTATTTTCATACACAAGAATTACAGCTTATTCTCTCTAAAGAGCACTATTAAGTATAACTGTGGGCTCACTCTTTGTATAGGAGCCTTTCCCAGCATGCTCCTTTTCTGGCAGATGGCCCTTTAATAGTGCTCTAGACTCAACCTGGTGTCGGAAAATTAAACTCTGGTCTTTCTGGCTTCTTGTATCCTCACTAGTAGTAGTGTCTTCCAAAAGAATGTCGCGTTCTGGAGGATATACAAGGCAGAACATAATCCAGCTTATTTTTCCTAATTGCACTGCCTCTCTATTGCTTACAGTACCAAAAAACATGTTAAGAAAACAAGCAAACATATCTAAGATGGAGTCATTTTTATAGTTACAATTGGGATCATAACACCCTAAGGCTGCAAGAGCTATGAAATTCTCATCCCTATTTAACAAGCCAATGGTATTCTATGGTCCATTACCATAAATTTGCACAGGTAATAAATTTTGTGTTATATATACATGCACTCTCTCATGGAAGAGTAAACTGGGTTCTTCCTACCTCATATATCACGAAGGATCCAGTTTGCCCTTCCGTAACTGTATATAATGTTAATTATTTAATGTGCAAGTTTATGTGGAGGTCAGAAAAAAAGAGAATTTGTAAAAAAAACTGCATGATGTCATTTTTACAGATGCACTTTTCTGACTCTACACACATTAACAATGGCATTACTCCTGGAACCCCATAATTATCCTAACTCTTAGCCATCTCCTAAAATCAGGATGTGAATTAGATGTTACCCAGTAGCCTCTTTAATGAAAACAACAAGCTCTGAAAAAAAATTATTGCTCATACTTTATCAAATTTGGTCCCACGTGGATTATTCTGCCTGAAGTATCTGGATGGAAATATATCCAGTCGGGTTCTAATGAACAGCACTTCATATCCTGTATGCCATTTTTTGCCTGAAGGTGGAAGAGAAGGCTTAGAATGATTATATTTAGATCTGATTAAACTGGAAAAGCTCAGCTCCCACCCATCTACGTTTACAGTACTAGGTAGAACCATATAGACATTACAAAAAGTTGAAGCAGCAGTGGAGCTGAATCAGTAAGGGGAATAACAAACCCTTATGGAACACCAAGACTTAAAGAAATTCCATCACACTGGGTTGTAACATTGTTTAGTATCTAATGAACAATGCCTTTAACATGATTAGACCTGTTCCTACTTCTCCTGGAACTACACATTGAAAATTAAAGACCTAGCCTGCAAACACTTCAGCAATTCAAAACAAAGTGAGCTTTGACTTGGGATGAGACCTATGAAAAGCTTTTATACTAGCACTGAGTTTTAAAACAAACCCAAGACCTGGGCGGATAGGTGGAAAAGCTTGCTGAGGTCTGTGAACTTGGGGCGGTTTATGAGTTCAGCCTCAAACCAGGCCAAATTCAGGCATTTTGGCAGAGTTTTGTTTTGAGTTAATTTGTAACAAACTTTTGGGGGTGTGAACTCACACAAAATAAAGCCAGGGGCAAGAGGTTTGCCTGAGACCTGGGAAGCAAAAACACCATATTTTGTGCAGCTTGTACTTCACCATGAGACTGAAGACCTGTATATTCTGATGTTAAAAGAGACAGGAAGGAAGGGACGTTGGTCTCAACAGACTAAGAGATGGGGACACAAATAGATGAGAAACTTCCCAGTTGAAGAATCCTGAGCTGGCAGGCCAATATTATAGACATGTTTTTAGCCTGAACAAGGAAGCCAAAATAAAGTCTGAAAAAGTGAGCTCATGCAAATGACGAAATGGTGGATAATACAACTTTTTTTTAAAAGGACACAATTATAAACATAGTGTTCAAAAACATTTTGAAAGAGAAACCACAAAAGGAGGATACTCCTGGGGGGAATTCTGCGCACAATATTTTAAAATTCTGCAAAATTCTATATATTTTATTTGTCAAAATTATACAATATAATCAGACCAGTTTCAATTATTTTGGTAATTTATTTCAAAATACTTGTCAGCAAGTATGTCTGTAACAATACAGACAACAAAAAAGATTCAGAAAATGTTTTTTGACAAATAGCTTCCTTACTAGGCATATTAATGTAGAACTCCGAGTAATAATTTATTTAAACTACAATATAGAATTGTATTTCTCACCCCCCGTCAGAAGCAGTGCAACGGTTTGGGAGAGCCAGGTTTAACAGAAGAGCTGAGGGAGAGGGAAGTAATTGCTGGGAAGGAGTCTGGTTGTGAACTTGTTGCCCTGCACCCCTCTCCCATCTGGCCCTGCACCCCCACTCAGCCCCCTGACCCTCATCTCTGTGTGGCCCTGCACCCCCTCTCTGTCCCCATGTGTCCCTGCACTCCCATTCAGCCATCTCCCTACCCTGTCCCCATGTGTCCCTGCACCCCCACTCCCATTCAGCTCCTTCCCCAGTCTGTCTCTGCACTATTAGCCCTTATGAACCCCAGTCTGTGATCCCCCCTCCCCAGCAGCCTCATATGCCCAATGCTGACCATCCCCTAGCCTCCTGACCTGGCCCCAGGGGCAGGGCACTGTGAGGAAGGTAGCCTCTTCTCTTCCCTATCTGCAGCTAGGGCTGGCCTGGGAGCGGCTGCTCTGTTCTGGCACCACAGCAGACCCTGGTGGGCGAAAGGCATAATTACAGCAATTTTCCAACAGAATGTATTTTTTGCGGGAGAAAAACATTCTGTGTGGCACATAAATTCTTTACGTGCACAGTGGCGCAGAATTCACCCAGGAGTAGAAGGATCAGATGCCAAATAGTAAAGCAGCTTATTTGTAAAATGGTTGTAGACAGTGGGAAACAACACGGCACCATGCAGGGTATAGGTACAAGACTCAGCTCAACCCATCACTGTTGAGTTGGGAACACAGAGGAGGTAATGCTATGGGTGCAGGGGACGGTAGAAAGCACCAGAAGCAACACTGGTGGGAAGAAAATATTTCCATTGCTTTGTGTTGATTCTTCTGACAATTTCAGAAGCAGCATTGCTGGGCTATAGCTGCAGCCCATTAAGTATGGCACTCCCTGGCCAAGGGGGCAATCAGCACATTGAGAGGGCACTGTAGGAGAGAATGGGAAAATCTTTATTGCTCCAAGTGTTACTCAGATGATAGGGTGAGTGAGGCTGCTATGTGAATATATTACCAAAGCATTGTCTTTCAGAGCACAAATATGGAAGACTCCTTTATGCTTTTTCTTGTTAGGTGTGATGATGTAATGCCAAGGGTATCCTCCAATTTGAAATGAGTTCTCCAGGGAAGACACTTCAAATAGCAAAGGTGGGGTATCTGCAAACGTTGTGTAATGTTAAGATCATTATTAACAGCCTCATAATTCCATTCGTCTGTAGAATTCTAATTAAATTATTCATTCTTAAAAACATCTAAAAACTCATTACAGTGTTTAATGTCATTGTGCACATAAAAATACAGTACAGATGGGCATCTACCTTCTACCTTGCAAACTGGCATTACGTAGGGTTACCTTACGTCCGGTTTTTCCCGGACATGTCCGGCTTTTTGGTAATCAAACCCCAGTCCGGGGGGAATTTCCAAAAAGCCGAACATGTCCGGGAAAAATACTCCCAGCTTCCGGCATCCCTGGCTTACCTTAGAGTGGGCTCCGGCGGCTGCTGTGGTCCCTGACTCCTCGGCTCTGTAAGAGCTAAGCTGCCCGAGCGCTACCGGCTTCGGGCAGCCCCCATGCCTCCGGACCCTGCGCTGCCGGCCGGGCACTTCCCCTCCCGGGCTCCGGCAGTGGCTGCTGTGCTCCCTGACTCCTCGGCTCTGTAAGAGCTAA